TTGAGTCTATGGTGCAGTGTTGAGTCTATGGGCAGTGCTGAGTCTATGGTGCAGTGTTGAGTCTTTGGACAGTGTTGAGTCTATGGGCAGTGTTGAGTCTATGGGCAGTGTTGAGTCTATGGTGCAGTGTTGAGTCTATGGTGCAGTGTTGAGTCTATGGGCAGTGTTGAGTCTATGGTGCAGTGTTGAGTCTATGGTGCAGTGTTGAGTCGATGGTGCAGTGTTGAGTCTATGGTGCAGTGTTGAGCCTATGGTGCAGTGTTAGTATCACACTCATCCACGCACTCACCCAGTCACCCACACACTTACTCTGCTGCTAGCGAGCACCTATGAAGTCCGAAAATTGCATACGAGGGGGTGGGTGACCAGCACCACGCCCGACCGCCTTTGTCTCCCCAGTGGCGTTGCTTACGACGCACCACACTTGGTACTCATTTGAGGCCGAGTCGACCTAGGGGAGGCCCAGGACCGATTCGGGTAATCGTCACTGATGTTTGGCCGTGAGCGGAATGGGTTCGTGGCGCAGCGCGCTAACCGTTGCGCCACCGCTCCCCAGGTAGGACAGTGCCAAGCTCGTAAGTGGTTTGGCGCTGACTTGCCACTCTACCTAAGATATCGCTGCTCTCTCACTGTCCTCAAGATGCCAGAGACCAATTTGGGAAATTATGTTCTTGAGAGACTACTGGTGTCATTTATGTGTTTGTGTGGGTGCGTGGGTGTGTGTGGACGTGTGTGTGTATGTGTTTGTGGGGAGCGGTAGTGTAGCGGTTAGCGATTATCTGAACCGGTCCTGGGCCTCCCCTAGGTCGACTCAGCCTGAAATGAGTACCTGGTGCGGTGTGTAAACATCGCCACTGGGGAGACAAAGGCGGTCGGGCGTGGTGCTGGCCACCCACCCCCTCGTGTACCGTTCCGGCCTTCATAGGTGCCCGCTAACAGCACTTGCCCCTACAATCTGTTAAGGCTATACGGGGGATCTTTGTCTTTGTCTTTGTATCTGTGTGTGTTTGTGGTTACTTATGCCCCCACCGAAGACAAATATCCGTGGAGGGATGCAGGCAAGGCCGATGAGTCAGATGCCTTCTATGACCTCCTGTCACAGGTGCTGGCTAAAGTGGTCCCTCGGGATGGATTGATCGTGTTGGTTGACTTTAATGCCCGAGTTGGTCATGATGCTGGCACCTGGTCTGGAGTGATTGGAAGGCATGGGCCAGATCAGCTCAATAACAACGGTAGGAGGCTGCTAGACTTGTGTGCAGCCCATGGGCTTGTAATTACCAACACGCTGTTCAGGCATCGGCGCATCCACACAACATCATGGATGTATGCCGGGTCCAAGCAAGAACATCTGCTGGACTATATAGTGACGGAACAGTGGATGCGGGCCCATGTTCTTGACACCAGGACCTACCGTGGAGCTGATCTGCCCTCTGACCATTGACTTGTCATCTGTAGGATGCGCCTGCCATTCTTCCACTCCGGTGGTGGGTGTACACCCAGGACCCCATTCAAACCCACAGTGGCATAGTCTCAGCTAGCTGATGAAAGTTGCAAGCTAGAGTTTTATAATCGCTTGCGGCTGGGTGTGGCATCATCCTCCACTCGTCCACGCTTTGAAGCTATCAATTCCGGTTCAGCAATTCTGCACTTGCTCTATAACTATAGTACTATACCGCCTTCAACTTTTACGAACGACTGGGTGTTTAATGTTTGCGATTTTTCGTATTATCTGTCTGTATAGCAAGTGAAATAAGTATAACCCGTAAAAACAAAGTTTTTCACTCTAAATCCTTTATATGCGTGGCGGCTAGAGTCCTCTCGTCCTCTGGCTTGAGATGGCTGCCACCTATGGGTCAGATGATTGTCTGCAGTATTAAACAATTGGTAATTACATATTTTATTTGTTTTCCCTAAAAAGTGTACAATTTTTGAAATGTTTTTTTTCACGAACATTAATTGTCTCGCACAACGAGTCTGTGTGCAAAATGTCAGCTCGATTGGATCACGGGAAGTGGGTTAAAAAACGACCGAAAGGTTTGCACGGTCGTAAGCGCGCAAGCAAGCAAGTGAACTTAATATAAAGGATTTAAAAATACAATTACTTTACCATGCAAGTTACAAAATGTGTGTTTAATCTTCTTGGTTCTTTCGGTAAAGTCACGTAGAAGGGAAATAATAAAATAATAAAAATAAAATACATTTTATTAGTCACGTAGAAAATAAAAAAACAATGAAATGTATTTTATTTTTATTATTGTATTATTTCCCTTCTACGTGACTTTACCGAAAGAACCAAGAAGATGAATCCCTGCAGTCACGAAAGCTTTAAATCGAAATTGTGTTTTAATATTTACGTGTTTTTTTAATTTAGGGCTCCTTTGTAACATACGCTACAGGCCTCGCGCTAGCTTCATCCGGCACTGTGGCTATCGCTCAATAACCCACATTCAATGGGTCCATATGTGTGAAGGCCCAAACCACAACAACCGACTCGCCTGACACAGTGCGTGTGGTGTGTGTGTGCACACGGGGCAGTCGGGGTGTGAAACAAGGCCTCTGCTTGGTGCAACCAATCTAGGAGAGATCACGTGGGGTAGATGACGGAGAAATGGGGAGTGTGAGAGGGGGCGCTACAGAGAGAGACCTGGAAGGGGATTGGCTGGAGGCAGATTGTTGAAAAGGGATTGGAGGAAAGATAGAAAACGCAGATGGCGGGGAACGATGGTGGACTGATAGTAGAGCGTATTAATTCTAGATTTGAAACTTTCGTGACTGCAAGGATTCATATTCTTAGGTTTTTTCGGTAAAGTCACGTAGGTAAAACATTAAAATGTATTAAAGTCAGCCGCACCTTTACATCAGCCGCACCTTAACAACTCTTGGAACCTCCGAGTTCAACCAGTCTACACAACAAAGGCTCATTCCTAGCAGCGGTTTCAGCCGCACCACCTCTACATAACAAAAGGCTCAGTCCTATTTACACGCACCTTTACAGCAGCCGCACCTTAAGAACTCTTGGAACCTCCGAGTTCAACCATTCTACACAACGAAGACTCATTCCTGGCAGGGTTTCAGCCGCACCACCTCTACATAACAAAAGGCTCAGTCCTATTTACACGCACCTTTACATCAGCCGCACCTTAACAACTCTTGGAACCTCCGAGTTCAACCAGTCTACACAACAAAGACTCATTCCTGGCAGTGGCTTCAGCCGCACCGAACCTCACAATAATAATATCCAGGGCCTACCTTGGCTCCTCCCACCCTCAACCAGTATATATACAAGGACTGTTTTCTTGGAATTTCTCTCACTTGATGCAGCTATCGTGCTGTGATGGTTCGACCTGAAGACGGAGGCTTGTGTTGCCTCCGAAACGTCGTGATTTTTATTTTATTTTTATTTTACTTTTATTAATTTTTATTTTTTACCTACGTGACTTTACCGAAAATAAACCTAAGAATATTACAGGAGAGTGGTTGAGATTTGTTAGAGAAGGGGAGATGAGGATTTGGCTGTGGAAAGAATTCGGGGAACCTTCGAAAAAGGGGAGCTCGCGGGATTGGAGGGAAGATACAAAACGCAGAGGGTGGGTAACGATGGTGGACTTACAGGAGAGTGATTGAGGTCCGTTAGGGAACGGAGGACAAGGATTGGTTGCAGAAAATAGGTCAGGGAACCTTCGAGAAAGACGAGCTGGATGGGTATGAAAAGGGGAATCAGAAGTTGAGGGCGACGCTTGGAGAGATGACTGAGTTCGTGCTCTAGGACAGTGTTCCTGTCGACAATAAAGACTCGGACTTATAGAAGAAGGTCAGTAGGTCATCTTTACACATCATCATTTACTGTCAGACTAATAATAGAATTATTCTCATTATATGTCGATCGCTCAATCACCCGATTCCATTCAATCCATTCATCATCAGCACCACAGATTTGCCCCCATTGATCCCTCGAATCTATTTCATTCACCTCATCGACCACCACCATCACATCCACACACACGCACGCGTTTATTTTGTTGTTGTACCGTTGTTAATTCTTTGTACAGTGCCTTGGTTAAGGCGCTAGATACATTGCGTTAAGATAGGGCGTTTACCTGTCGACCCACCTAAACCACGCTTACCTCACCCATCCATTGCATCCAGGTGTAATGAGTTCCGGAGACACTTGTAGTGGTAACTTCTTTATTACAATACAACACTCCAACAGTCCTGATACTCTGTTACAGCCTAGGTACACTACTCTGGCTACGCTCTGGGGTCCTCCGGCTACAATTACCCTAGGTAAGGCTACCTGACCCGACCCAGCCAAGGTGCGGGTCTGGACTCTGGCTTCCTCGGAACTCGCCCTTACAAGGACGTAGAGCCGGGAGTCCCAGAGTCCCACCACTGGCCCTCACAGCGTCCCGGCCCTTACAAGGACAAGCGGGACGAGGGGGTCCAGGGTCCTAAGCTGGCTGGCTGGTGGGTCTTGGGTCTTGAGCTGCGACTGGCCCCGATCAGCCAGGGAGCTGCCCTTTTATGCCTCGTTCCCAACGAGGGGTGGGGTTGTGTGCGCCCCCAGATATCCCACAGAGCACACACAGCCCCCCCCTCGTTGGTGGCGCCAAGGGGCTTAACTGTCTGGGGTGCCTGGGATCCTAGCGCCTGGCGCCGAGGGTTTATCTGTCTAGGGTCCCAGAGCCCCCAGCAGCCCCTCCCCTCTTATGGCACTACACAGGTGAGAAGCAGCAACGGCTTCAGCATCAGCAGCCGCCGTTCCTCTAACAAGCGGCGACCGTGCCAGGCTAGGTGCACCTTGAGGCTGTCACGTGATGTTTGGGAAGGCGCTCGGAGGAGGTCATGTTCCCACTAACTCGCTGCGTTTTGACCGCCCGGCGCTCCGCTCGTTGTTGTGAGCGTCGCTCCTCTGCCCTTCGCTGTTGCTGGAGGGCGACTGCTTCCAACTGCCCAGCAGCAGCAGCGTCCTTCACGAGCCTTGTCTTCCTCCACAGAGGCTGATCTTGACTCCGCTGGTACCGGTCATCGGCAAGTCCACTCAGCTCCATCATCGCTACCACCACCATCGTCGCCAACACTACCACCATTACTGCATCACATCTACACCATCACCAGCAGCAGTGCCACTACCATCACCTAAACCACAATACACATCCATCGTCACCACCATTGTATCTATATTCACCACCACCACCACCACCAAAGATCCCATCCCATCACCACTACCATCAGCAAAACCACAAATCCATCACCACCACCACTACTAAATCTATCACCACCACTCTATCTATAATCACCACCACTACTATATCAACAACACCACCAAATATCCACACTCCCCACCACTACCACCACCCGCAATGACTTCCACCATCCACCTCCTCAACCCATCCTCCGCAACCGCCACAACCGTCGCATCCCCGTTCACCACCAACGACATCAACGACATCAACGACATCAACATGAACAGCAGCGGCGGCGGCAGGAGGACTTGCCTGTACCGTGAGGCCTACAAGCACATCCTGTTGCCCGCTGTCTACAGCGTCGTCTTCGTGCTCGCCCTCGCCCTCAACGGCTCCGTCCTCTACCTCTGCGCCTTCCGCACCGAGCGCCGACGCTGGAGCGCCAACCTTGTCTACCTCGCCAACCTGGCGGCTGCCGACCTCCTCTACGCCTGCTCGCTGCCCCTGCTGGTGCTGAACTACGCGTGGCGCGACCGTTGGCCTTTCGGCGACGCGGCCTGTCGCGCCGTACGCTTCGTCTTCTACGCCAACCTCTACGGCAGCGTCGCCTTCCTTGCCGCCATCAGCCTCAACCGCTACCTCGGCGTCTGCCACCCGCTCCGTTTCGGCGGCCTGCGGGGCAGCCGGGCGGCCGCCCGCATTTCGTTGGCCGCGTGGCTCGCCGTGGCGGTCGAGACGGCGCCGACGGCGGCGTTCGCTCGCTCCGGGGTCCTGCGCGGACGCGCCGTCTGCTACGACCTGACGAGCCCGGAGAACTTCGCCGCCTACTTCCCCTACGGCGTGGCGCTCACCGCCGTGGGCTTCGCCGTGCCGTTCGCTGTCATCGCCGCGTGCTACGTCGCCATCGTGCGCGCGCTGGTGCGCCGGCGCAGGTCCAGGGTTTGCCAGATGCGGCACGGTGCCGGTGCCGGTGCCGGCGGTGGTGGCGGCGGCGAAGTGAAGAGGGCGGGCGGCCGCTCGTTCAGGCTCATCGCCGTCGTGTGCCTGAGCTTCGCCGTCTGTTTCCTGCCCTTCCACGTGACGCGCATGGTGTACCTCTTTGTCAAAATGTACGGCGGCGGTGGCGGCGGTGGCGACAGCGGCGGCGGCGGTGGTAATTACACCGCGGCCGTCGTCGGGGGTGGTAATTACACCATCGTCGGCGGCGGCGGCGACGAGTCGTCGTGCGAGCTCGTGCAGACCGTGTCGACCATCTACAAGGCGACTCGGCCCCTCGCCAGCCTCAACTGCTGCATCAACCCGGTGCTCTACTTCCTGTCGGGCGACTACTACAGGCGTGGGGGAGCCGCACACTGGGGCTGCTGCGGCGGCGGCGGCGGCGGAACGGTGGTGCCGGCGTCCACCGCGGGAGGGTCGCGCGACGCTGAGCCGTCCAACACCGACACGGTGGTGACGGCGGTGGTGGCCGTGGAAAGGCGCTAGCTAGGAGCGGCGATTAGCCGCTCACGGCCGCCACCCACACCGTTGACGACGAATATCTTGATCAGGTCCCCGAGTGGGTGCGTTAGTGAGTGAGTGCGTGGGTCAGTGGGTATATGAGTGAGTGAGTGGGTACGTGGGCGAGTGGGTATATGAGTGTGTGATTGGGTGCGTGAGTGGGTGAGTGAGTGAGTGAGTGGGTGAGTGGGTATATGAGTGGGTGATTGGGTGCGTAAGTGAGTGGGTGCGTGAGTGAGTGGGTGAGTGGGTGCGTGGGTGAGTGGGTGATTGGGTGCATGAGTGAGTGGGTGAGTGAGGGGGTGAGTGAGTGGGTGCGTGGGCTAATGGGTATATGAATGGGTGATTGGATGCGTGAGTGAATGAGTGAGTGGGTGAGTGGGAATATGAGTGGGTGATTGGGTGCGTGAGCGAGTGGGTGGGTGAGTGAGTGGGTGCGTGGATGAATGAGTATATGAGTGGGTGATTTGGTGCGTGGGTGAGTGAGTGTAGGTGGGGACAGGCGTCTATGACATCTCCTTGCCAAACCCCATTTGCCGGAGCCGGGATACTGAATCCTTACCCTCGGGGTTCCTCCAGAAATGGCTAAAAGCCACTGCGAGTGGCCACTTGGAATGTTTGAATGCTGCAAAGAGAGGTTGCCAGACCTCTCGGGAGTGGGACTGGTACCGCCTGAATCTTTGCGGTATTCAGGAGGTCCGGTGGACCGGCTCTGGCTCCAGCCACCACGAGGGGTGGACAGTCCTCTACTCGGGGGAGGAGACTGCCAAACAACAGGGAGTGACTCTTCTTCTGAACAAAATAATGAAGGGGGTGTGGGAGCGTGGCAGTGAGGTGTGGGAAGCTGGAAGCCCCAGGCTACTTTTGGCTCGCCTTCCCATCAACCAGAGGCAAGGAGTGGTGGTGGTGGTTACTTATGCCCCCACCGAAAATTAATATAAGTGGAGGGATGCAGGCAAGGCCGATGAGTCAGATGCCTTCTATGACCTCTTTCACAGGTGCGAGCTAAAGTGGCCCCTCGGGATAGAGTCATCTTGTTGGGTGACTTCAATGTCCGAGTGGGTCATGATGCTGGCTCCTGGTCTGGAGTGATTGGAAGGCATGGGCCAGATCAGCTCAATAACAACGGTAGGAGGCTGGTAGACTTCTGTGCAGCCCATAGGCTTGTAATTACCAACACGTTGTTCCGGCATTAGCACATCCAAACAACATCATGGATGCATACCGGGTCCAAGCAAGAACATCTGCTGGACTACATAGTGACGGAACAGCAGATGCGGGCCCATGTCCTTGACACCAGGACCTACCGTGGAGCTGATCTTCCCACTGACCATCGACTTGTCATCTGTAAGATGCGCATGCCTTTCTTCCACTCCGGTGGTGGGTTGCACATATATTTGTATATGCATGTGTGTATATCTATGTATGTGTGGAGCGGTAGTGTTGAGGTTAGCATGCGGCACTACAAACCCGGCAACCTGAGTTCAATTCCCCCTCACGGCCCACACCATTGACGATTAACAGAACCAGTCTTGGGCCTCCCCTAGGTCGACTCAGCCTTAAATTAATATCTGTCTGTGGTGTGCATACATCGCCACAAGGGAGACAAAGGCGGCCAAGCGTGGTGCTGAGACCACTCAACTTTTTGTGCTTCGTGCAGGCCTTCATAGGTGCTCGCTAACAGCACTTGCCCCAACAGTTTGTCCAAGCTATTAGTGGGATCTTTGCCTTTATATGTGTACGTGTCTGTATATGTTCGTATGCATGTGTGTATGTGTGTATGTGCTGTATGTGTATATGCATGCATGTGTAGAGTATATAAAGTGTATGCGTGTACGGGCGTCGCTCGCATAATGCATCACACGCGTTCCTGAAAAAACAGCGTTGTATGAAGCTAACGTTCCCATAGGCATACATGATACACGGGGGGGATGCGAACCCCGAAGAATAACACTGGTCAACACACTTTTTCTGGCATAAGGTATTCCAACGGTTTTAAGGTAATTTTGGGGTGCTGATTCCAAATCTGGCATCAGTTTTTGTCTATTACATCATCAGGTTTTTGAGATATCAAATATTGCATTTTCAATAAAAACTGCAGAAGAAAAATATTAAATAAATGTGGATATCTACATAAAATGATATTATAAACACACTATCCAAAAAATACAGCACCATATTTTAACACTAAAGCAGTCACTGACTCGCAACAACTTGCAATCATAAGTGACAGAGTTAATTACGATTAAAATCAATGAAAATGGGGTATGCCGATAGCATAAAAATGATGTGATAGAGCAAATCTGAGATCCGATTTGGAATCAGCACCCTGAAATTAGTCTAGAACAGCTGCAAAAGTCCAGGCCAGAATTTTTTTTTTGTTGACCAGTGTAATTGAGTATCATTTCATTGTTTTATCCCTGGATTTACAACATCCGTAGACACGTAATGCTTAATACGAATATTAACCTTACATACATAACGTAATAAGGAGTTTTGTAACAAACCAAACAATAATTAAAATTTAAAAGATTGCTACTTGCAAAGATTTCTTCATAAGGAGCAACTTCAGTCATTTGCATCGGTAGCCAGTTACATTGATCAGTCCCATCAGTCGCCAGTTACATTGATCACTTGCATAAATATCCAGTCACATTGATCACTAACTGACCCACTCACTCACAGACTCACGCATTCACCCACCCAAAATACTCAATTGCCCACCCACTCGCTCACCTACACACTCACTCACCCACTCTCTCAATCACTCACCCACTCTCTCAACCACTCACTCACCCACTCACTCACTCACCCACTCACTCAACCACGCACTCACTCACCCACTCACCCGTGTACTCACCCACCCACACACTCACTCACCCATGCACTCACCCACCCACGCACTCACTCAACCACTCACTTATCCACCCACTCACCCACGCGCTCACCCACTCACTGACTTAACCACTCACCCACCCACACACTCACTCACCCACTCACCCATGTACTCACCCACCCACACACTCACTCACCCACTCACCCATGCACTCACTCACCCACACTCCCACTCACTCACCCATGCACTCACCCACCCACGAACTCACTCAACCACTCACTTATCCACCCACTCACTCACCCACGCGCTCACCCACACACTTCAGAAGGCAGGAGTGTATTTCCCGGCGAGTACAGCCCGCAGAGCTCAGGATCTCTTTTTCAAGGGGTGGCTACTCGACTGGCAGACAGCAACCAAAGCAGTCCCACAAGTTCACGGATTTAAAATAACAAGTCAGCAGAGTAGACCGTCAATTATCCGCGCCAATGACGGTCACGGAATAATAATTCAAAATCGCGAAAAATCCAAACATTATAACCATTATCCCGCGGATCTATTACGCCAAAAACCCCCACTGATAACACATTCCTGCGGAGGGAGCTGGTAGGAACGTTGGGTTGCTCGGTCAATGGCCTGCAGGGTCAACGGCGGCGTGGTGTATTCCGCAAATATGCCCGACTGTGAGGGCGGGCACAAGCCGGCGTGAGTAGGTTAAACGTTGAGTTTTATAAGGGCACCACGGGGTGACCAGCCCCTCCCCACCCAGCCCCACCCCTCCCACCCCCCACCCAGCCCCACCCTCCTCACCCAGCTCCTCCCTACCCTCCCCACCCAGCCCCTCCCCACCCTCCCCACCCTCCCCTCCCCACCCAGCCCCACCCTCCCTTCCCCACCCAGCCCCTCCCCACCCTTCCCACCCTCCCCTCCCCACCCAGCCCCACCCTCCCTCCCCACCCAGCCCCTCCCCACCCAGCCCCACCCTCCCCACCCTCCCCATCCAGCCCCTCCCCACCCTCCCCACCCTCCCCACCCAGCCCCTCCCCACCCTCCCCTCCCCACCCTCTCCTCCCCTCCCCACCCAGCCCCACACTCCCCACCCAGCCCCTCCCCACCCTTCCCCACCCAGCCCATCCCTCCCTCCCCACCCAGCCTCTCTCTGCACGACGGACATAATAATCCCTTGTGGGCTGGTGTAACCAGGAGGTTCCTACCAGTATACTGTCACGTTTAAGTTAAGCCATTTTCGGAGTTTGTTAATGAACAAAAACAAACTTATGTAGTGAAGAATCGACCGAACTGATCGATGCGCATGCTCAGTCATAACGACAACTCACTCCTGGCTCCCGCCCAGCAGAAGCCTCGGGCCCCACTGATTGGCTGATGGCACAGCCAATCAACAGCCAATCAACAGCCAATCAAACTCCGCCACCCGCCATTGTAAATATATTGCAACCACTGTACTGCAGAGGCGATCACGCGGATGTCGGATTAACCGTAGAAACACATATTTGGGGCATTTTTGTTTGCCAGTATGAAAAATTAATAATAGGTTTCATGCTTTCTGGCAGTAATAAAACAGGAAGGTTGTGTTAAGGTGTTCAAACACCAAATATAAACCTTTTGCATGGAATCCAGTTACTGCATTAACCACACACGATTACTGCTTGTGGTGAATATGCGAACACAAACACGTGGCTCTGATGATGATGTGTGATGCGTTGTCTTTGAAATTGATTGGTCTCTACCACGGACCTTCTTTATGGCCCAGTCTCACCACCACCAGCGTCAGACCAGAGAACAACGCCACAATGTGAACAGTACAAGGTCAATGCTACTATCAGGGCATTATAGCTGCGGTGGCTACGGAGATGTTAACTACCTCGCCTGGTACACAGGAGGTCGTGGGTTCGATACCGACCCTGACGACGCCTGCTGTTGCTGTATATTTGGAGTCTGCATCTCTCTCTCATCATTATCATCACGGTAGCTAGGATATGTTAACTACCTCGCCTGGTACACAGGAGGTCGTGGGTTCGATCCCCATCCTGACGATGCCTGCTGCTGCTGTCTATTTGGAGTCTGCGTCTCTCACTCTCTCATCATCATCACGGTGGCTAGGAGATGTTAACTACCTCGCCTGGTCTACAGGAGGTCGTGGGTTCCATCTCGACCCTGACGACGCCTGCTGCTGCTGTATATGTGGAGTCTGCGTCTCTCTCTTTCTCTCTCCCCGTGATTCGCGTGGAGTTTTCTCCATGCCCTCCGCGTTTCCCCTCCGCATTTCGAGTATCTGGCTACTGCTCTACATTTGTAATGACATGCTGACACCTGCTGGCTGGAACAGGGAAGCACGTCTACGTTGACCGCTAAGACAACATCCAATCTGAAAGGGAGAGGTATCTGGGGGCAAAGGTAATGGGCGGGGTTGGCCGGGATGCTCCGGGAGACCTTCTGGAAGGTTCCACGACAGGGCTTGGCCGGGGGCGGAGCCTAGCCACACCTGGGGGAGATATAAGCGGGGGGCAGAGCGGGGCTCGGGGTTCGAGCGTGGATTCTTGGGCCCGAACTGCGTCGTCTCTCTCCGTCGTCCGGTCACGTGGAAGATCTCCTGCGGGGCTTCCACCGCCGTCCTCGGCTACGCCGCCGGCGGTGGGATCACGCCGAGCGATCGGCCGTAGGTCAGAGGTCGCAAACGGGTTTTAATTCCTTACCCGTACCCGGCCGCACCAGGGTCGCAAATGGGTACCCGTACTCGGCCGGATACGGGTACCCGTTCCCTACCCGAAATGAGTGACAAACGGTGACTCACCAGTGACTCACGGCCTACCCGTACCCGTAACCGGCCGCACCAGGGTCGCAAATGGGTACCCGTATCCGTACCCGGCAGGGTACGGGTACTCGTTCCCTACCCGTACCCTACTCGAAATGAGTGACAAACGGTTACTCACCGGTGACTCACGGCCTACCCGTATCCGGCCGCACCAGGGTCGCAAACGGCTACCCGTACCCGTACCTGGCCGGGTACGGGTAGCCGGGTATCGGGTAGGGTACGGGTATCGGGTACCCGGTTGCGACCTCTGCCGTAGGTGCAGCCAGTAGGCACGTTCATATTTAAAGTGTTAATTTTAGATTCTAAGCTTTCGTGACTGCAAGGGTTCATACTCTTAGGTTTTTTTTTTGGTAAAGTCACGTCGGTGAAGAAATAAAATTAATAAAAGTAATAATAGAAATAAAATAATAAAAATCACGACGTTTCGGAGGCAACACAAGTCTCCGTCATCAGGTGGGACCGTCACAGCCAGATTTACCGTATCAAGTGAGGCAGAGATTCCAAGATACAAGTTCTTAAATATAAGTTCAGGGGGGAGAAGGGGGGGGGAGGAGCTTATCTGAGTGTGGTAGCCAATGAATGGAACGTATTGGGGGGGGGGGCCGGGGCTAAAAGAGAACTACAGGTCACGTGACCTGTTGTTCTCTTTTAGCCCCACCCACCCCCCCAATACGTTCCATTCATTGGCTACCACATTCAGATAAGCCCCTCCCACCTCTCCCCCTTAACTTGTATATAAGAGCTTGTATCTTGAAATTTTTGCCTCACTTGATGCAGCAAATCTGGCTGTGACGGTCCCACCTGATGACGGAGACTTGTGTTGCCTCCGAAACGTCGTGATTTTTATTATTTTATTTCTATTAATTTTAATTGCATTTTTTTACCTACGTAGTGACTTTACCGAAAAAAAACCTAAGAGTATTTAAAGTGTTGTACTCAGAATGCGACGGGTGAGGTTGGCCCGTGTTGTGCCCGTGTGAGAAATAAAAGAAGTACCCTCAACGCGACGTGTCGTGGAAGTCGCTCATTACCGATGCCAGATGATTACATGATCCACTTGGTATAGCTGCTATCATTTGAGATTGCCACGGTCACTTCGGAAAAAGGTCCACACATCATCTCAATGGGCCTTACCTGATACAATAGAATGAAAATAGTTTAACAGTTTAACTTTAGGGCAGTGGTGAGTCTGTGGTGCAGTGTTGAGTCTATGGTGCAGTGTTGAGTCTACGGTGCAGTGTTGAGTCTGTGGTGCAGTGTTGAGTCTATGGTGCAGTGGTGAGTCTATGGTGCAGTGTTGAATCTATGGTGAAGTGTTGAGTCTATGGTGCAGTGCTGAGTCTATGGTGCAGTATTGAGTCTATGGGCAGTGTTGAGTCTGGTGCAGTGTTGAGTCTATGGTGCAGTGTTGAGTCTATGGTGCAGTGTTGAGTCTATGGTGCAGTGTTGAGTCTATGGTGCAGTGTTGAGTCTATGGTGCAGTGTTGAGTCTATGGGCAGTGTTGAGTCTATGGTGCAGTGTTGAGTCTATGGTGCAGTGTTGAGTCTATGGTGCAGTGTTGAGTCTATGGTGCAGTGTTGAGTCTATGGCAGTGTTGAGTCTATGGTGCAGTGTTGAGTCTATGGTAGTGTTGAGTATGGTGCAGTGTTGAGTCTATGGTGCAGTGTTGAGTCTATGGTGCAGTGTTGAGTCTATGGTGCAGTGTTGAGTCTATGGTGCAGTGTTGAGTCTATGGTGCAGTGTTGAGTCTATGGTGCAGTGTTGAGTCTATGGTGCAGTGTTGAGTCTATGGTGCAGTGTTGAGTCTATGGTGCAGTGTTGAGTCTATGGCAGTGTTGAGTCTATGGTGCAGTGTTGAGTCTATGGTGCAGTGTTGAGTCTATGGTGCAGTGTTGAGTCTATGGTGCAGTGTTGAGTCTATGGTGCAGTGTTGAGTCTATGGTGCAGTGTTGAGTCTATGGTGCAGTGTTGAGTCTATGGTGCAGTGTTGAGTCTATGGTGCAGTGTTGAGTCTATGTGCAGTGTTGAGTCTATGGTGCAGTGTTGAGTCTATGGGCAGTGTTGAGTCTATGGTGCAGTGTTGAGTCTATGGTGCAGTGTTGAGTCTATGGCAGTGTTGAGTCTATGGGCAGTGTTGAGTCTATGGTGCAGTGTTGAGTCTATGGGCAGTGTTGAGTCTATGGGCAGTGTTGAGTCTATGGGCAGTGTTGAGTCTATGGTGCAGTGTTGAGTCTATGGTGCAGTGTTGAGTCTATGGTGCAGTGTTGAGTCTATGGTGCAGTGTTGAGTCTATGGTGCAGTGTTGAGTCTATGGGCAGTGTTGAGTCTATGGTGCAGTGTTGAGTCTATGGTGCAGTGTTGAGTCTATGGTGCAGTGTTGAGTCTATGGGCAGTGTTGAGTCTATGGTGCAGTGTTGAGTCTATGGTGCAGTGTTGAGTCTATGGTGCAGTGTTGAGTCTATGGGCAGTGTTGAGTCTATGGTGCAGTGTTGAGTCTATGGTGCAGTGTTGAGTCTATATGGGCTGTTGAGTCTATGGGCAGTGTTGAGTCTATGGCAGTGTTGAGTCTATGGTGCAGTGTTGAGTCTATGGCAGTGTTGAGTCTATGGTGCAGTGTTGAGTCTATGGTGCAGTGTTGAGTCTATGGTGCAGTGTTGAGTCTATGGTGCAGTGTTGAGTCTATGGCAGTGTTGAGTCTATGGTGCAGTGTTGAGTCTATGTGCAGTGTTGAGTCTATGGTGCAGTGTTGAGTCTATGGTGCAGTGTTGAGTCTATGGTGCAGTGTTGAGTCTATGGTGCAGTGTTGAGTCTATGGGCAGTGTTGAGTCTATGGTGCAGTGTTGAGTCTATGGTGCAGTGTTGAGTCTATGGTGCAGTGTTGAGTCTATGGTGCAGTGTTGAGTCTATGGC